TAACGAAAGTGGTTGTGAAAAGGATACGTTTTCGGCTATTTTTCTGAAAATTTTCTGATTCAATTTTACGTTGACACAACGTACTGGGGAACTACGTTTAAGAGCGAAATATCCCTTTGCTGCAAGCTATTTGTGTTGTATATGGGGTTTCACGAGCTGCTGAAGGTCATTTTAATAAAAATCTAATTTTTTTGATTTTTTGGCCGCCATGTTGAAGTTTGATCAAACCGTTTGCGTTGTGTATGGAAAGTCTATAGAATTTGCCCGCACCACTAGTATACTTAGCCACTAGCGGCACCCCAGGGTGCCGCGTCACCCACTTTGGGAAGGCCTGATGTAGAGGGCCGAATTGCCAGCCTAGTGGCACCAGAATGCTAAACGCGCCAATTATTTGGATCGGTACCGTCACCGCCAAATTGAATTATCATTTCTGATATGGTACAATTCCTTGCAGGGGTAACAAAGCTGTAAGCAAACATATATGCACATATAACGCGCTCTAACCGCCCAAAAGAGGTAAGTGAAACTTTTTTTAAAAACTTTCTTTTTGATGCAGAAATTCATCTAGATGCTCTAGGAGTATTTTCGCATCAAAAATAAAATTTCGAAAAAATGTCAATTACATCTTTTTGGCGTTTAGGGTCGAAATGTATGTACATATATACGTAGTAAGTATACACACAAGCTTAATGTACGTTAGCTAGATCACACGATCATTACGCCTAAATGTATGCATCGGATATTATTCTTTTTATTTGAAATCAAATGCAGGGTGTGGCTTAAATGCAGGGTGTGCTTAAACACTCATTTATTCAGGCACAGGGCGACATTTTTCCCATTTCGTTATTCGGACAAATTTTTTAATGATGCATTTTCGAACGTTCTTTGTGCAGTTTGCAGCTAATCAGGTTTAAAATTTTTAATTTCTTAAATTTTGTTTCAAAACATAAAAAACGAATATACTCTTCTTTGTGATAATTTTCAGTTTCTTTTTTTTTTTTAATTAATTGTATAAAGAACTGCTAAAATATGTAGCAGGTGAGGGAAATTTATAAATCAACAGGGGGTTTCATATAAACAGGAAACTTTATCAGTGTGCATTTTTATTCCTTTACGTACATTGTGTGGCAACTTATTTGTGAAAACATCTGCGATCAGCTGCAGGGTATGTTCGCAACTGATTTGCAAACGAAATCAGTGCGTTTATTTATCTGACTAGCTTATACTTTTCTAAAGGGTTTCGTTGCACTGAATCTGAATCCAAAATTCCCAGGGTCTGAAAATTGTCGGCCTGTGTAATTGAGTCTTCATACGAATTCTGACAGTTGAATT